CTAAAGAGCGTAGAGCTGGACCCCTGAACTTCCTAAAGTATCGGTCACAGTCTATTGCTATCATTGCCTCTCATGGTAACATAATCAAAACTATAGTTCTGTAGGAAAGTTCTCCACTTTCAGGGGTAGCTGCAGTTTAGCAAAAGAGAGGATCATGAATTAGATTCCCAAAACAGCTTAGCAAACCCAAAAAATAAAGTTGGAACCATAGGATATTTCTTGTAAACTTTACGATGGTTTGCCAAGCCTGATTTGTACGCAGATCCTTCCGAGCATAAAGCTGAAACAAAATCAATGTAAGCAACCACTTAACCCATACACAACAGAAGCCAAATTTCTATAAACGACAACCTTTTTATTTTGAAAACCTGATAGCACATAGTAATGGTAGGAGAGCACACAGTAAACAGCAGTTGTGTATAACAAAATACTCACACCAAGTTGCTGGTACTGGTAGGAGAACAAAAAACTATGGCAATTTCTCATCTTGGTAGCTGGTTTGGCAGCAATCATGCAAGGAACACAATGAACACACCTTTTTATTGGCCTAAGCATTCTGCAATATAGTTGCTTGACGGTGGGTCAGTTTCCTAACGGTACAACATTCACCATCAGGAAACCACAAGAAAGACTAACTGAATCACAAGCCAAAGGAAAAATATGGGAAGCATAAAGGGATGAGAAGGTATGACCAAAACACATCCAGATTCATAGAAAGAAAGAAAAAGTTCGTAGCATACTTGAACAAAGATCAAATCAACTTGAAACATAAGACAAAGGAGAGGGAACATAAATGAATAGATGGGATCATCCCGTTCAGCGACACTGAATAAGAGTCTCGCCGAGGAAGTGACTTGTTTCATACCTGGACTATCTGCATGATATTTTAGAGATCTTTTCCATCGTTAGCGGCACCATGTGACCAAGGGCATTTCGTAAAACAATCTGAGGCACCAACGATCGGAAAGGCACAACAAAGGTATTTTAGTTGTAAGAAATGGTTCAGATAATTGAGCATGCAACAGGAGGGAAACTCGTATATCCCATAAGACACCACTCCATCACTATTAAGAGGGCAACTAATAGGAAAGTTGAGAAATTTAAAATCACGGTTCTTTCTGAAACTGTCAATACATGAACCTAGCCCCTAAATGTTTCTGAAATGACCTTAAGCTTCATTGTAAACTTGGTTTCAATAATGTACCAAAGCAACTTGAAGAAGAGGTTGGCAGATCTAGGACAAACAGGCAGCAGGCAGCTCATGTATATAAATCAACCTTGATTAGGATATCTAAATGACCTATACTAACATCCTTAAACGTCATTGAAGAAGCGATAAGGTGATAGCGACAGAAACTACAAATTCAAAATAAGAGGCATGTATATAACAGACCCCAAAACCTGATAACTTCATGCTGGCTACCTCGCTTGAGGTGTAAAGGTTGAGTACGACCTCAAATGCAAATGTATGGAATATTAAGTCTTCTAGATGTTTGACGGCAGACTCAGCAAGGCCAGTGTGAGGTGTCATCTGTAGTAATGCAGGCGCTGCATCGTGGCTGAGAAGAAAGAAGCAGGAGTGTGTCTCGTCCTGTACTATGACGGAGATGTAAAAGCTGTGAACACAAGCATAAAAGTTGGTTAACAAAGAGCACTATCCCACCTTCTTATCTAAGTTCGTTTTTTATTTCTTAAAATGGATTCCACTATGATGATGACATCCTTTTTCACTCAACTATATCAGAAAAGTAAAGCAAAGTACTTTCCTTGGACTCTCTCTATTATGCATTTTTCTTCAAAAGGATACAACTGAGCAAAATCCTGGCCTGCCATTTGCAGTTACTGAAGTTCCTCATGATGGTCGAACCTAATGCCTTGTGTGGTGGCAAAGTCCTTTCAGGAAACCACAAGGTTGAAGCTGCACCAATATCACCAGTAGGTTAGTGTGTGAGGAAAACTTATACCTGCTGGAACTATAAATACGTGTGCAATTGTGATTTGTTCAGACTATTTGGCTACCTAATAGGACATGATCAAATTGGGGAAGCACCAATATCAATTAGGAACCTATTCCTCTTAGTTTTACCCTGCTAATGAAAATCAGGAGCCACTTATCACCCAAAAAACTGCTCTTCATTTGCCACACTAAATTCCTGTCATAGTTCCACCAGAGAACTAAAATACCAAATGCTAAAGTTAAATATATCAATACATCAAACCAATATAATGTAATGAGAAGGAAAAAGAATGCAAGCTGAAGATGGTTCAATCTCGAGCAACAAATTAACAAACCCAATTACATAGGTAGGGGAAAAAAGCAAATCATATTTCAACAGAGGTAAACTAAAAGATCATCCTTGTAAAGTGCTAGACAACAACTCCATTTGAGGCTTCCATATGAGCTAGCATGGAAGAGGAACACTGATTGCATATAAGAGAACTGGTTTTCTAAAGGGCTTGTCAAATGGAGAACTGATAACAGGGTCCAACTTATATAACACTAAAAAAAAGTGCTGAAATCCCACCATACACATGTTAATTTCCTTTTTTTTGTGGATTATAAGAAAAACAGCAGCCTAGATATAATTAGTAGCATATATAAATACATATCACCCAGTCAGATAATATAATCAAGCTGCTAATGAACCTGAATGAAAAGGGAAACCTGATGAAAAGATGGTGGAAACAGAGATATATGCTTAATTATGTATTGAACGATAAGTGATGCACATCAAGTATAGGAAAAACTCACACCAGATGCTACGTAACTTAGCTCTAAAAAATAACGAAAAAGAGCAAACAGTTTGACCTGACTGTGTCCCTTTGTAGCAAAATCCAAGTTAACACCCAAAACAAAGATAAATAAACACGTATGATGGCATAAACAGCTGTAGGAAGATGACACCGCCGAAGGAGAAAGAAAAGGAACCAGTCCTCAAGTATTGATTCAGGAACCCAATTAAAGCCTTCAAATCATAAACTGGAACTAAAATAAAGATTTGAGTAATAACACTGTAGTTATAAACATAATCAGTTTCAGCAGAAATGCAGAATACATGGCTAGCTCTAACATGGCGTAGAATGATAGTGGGAAAAGCAAGAGGAATGGAGTCTGAAGATTATTCACCATAAAGTAGTGGCCAAGAAAACGTGATATTACAAAACACACGACCGGCGAAGCAATTCTGCTCCAAAACGAAACTAAAATGGAAGGAGACCTGATTGCATCAAGGCAGGCGCCTGGAACAACATAGAATACAGCAAGCTCAATGTTTCTGGTCCCACAACATCCTCTTGCTTCCTCTTCAAACCCTACAAAGACAAACCAGAAATGGAGTTAAATCATATCAATATGGTCGAAAAACTAACAAAAAACATATGTTATTACCATATGGAGCTTGGTTCTAGAGAGGCAGCAGAGGTTCTGAGAAGCTAACAATCTTTGCTCCTTGAGAAAGCTTTTCATTCAGGGAAGAAAGGGCTGAAGAGAGCTTAGAGTTGAAGAGCTTGACAACTTCATGCAACTCTCCTTCTACGCAATTCCACTGTGGTAGTATCCCGCCAGCAGCAGCAACCCTATGGAGAGGGAAGCAACTTATTGAAGCTTTACCCACCGCCTCAATTTTCTTCCGCCCGTAGAATTCCAATATTGTAATGAGAGCAGACAACGACAAACGAAAAACATCTTTTAAAAGCACAATAACGACCATTGAGATTTGACAAACTGAACACATGATTACAAATGGATCTACTCCACATTCCCAATCCATCTGGCAAACAAACAATGATGGTCTGCATCTTATAAAATATGACCGAAGAAGCAAAGGATCAACAATGCAGCAAGACAACTTGAAATATGGCAGAATTCACCAGATGAGCATTTTTTGCTTCAAAATATAGTTACATGACCTCGTCTTTACTCAAGGTCTGAAGATGCAATTTCCTCTCCCGCTCCAGAATCCTTGGGCAGGGAAAACGCACCCACTTCCTGAAAAAGGACCATCAGCAATGTGACTCATGCGACATACCCTTAAACACTAATGTACAACCCAATAGCAGTAGATGGTAGATCAACAGAACTTAAGGCAGAAATCAGGCTAGCAAACAGTACAATAGGTAAAGTAATTTTTCGTCACACATTCCAATATATGCTAGCCAAACTCACACATGCAACATTCAATACTACAAACTATAAGGCAGAAGTCCCTAAAGTCCAATATCCTCCCTACTCCATCTCAAAAAGGTCAAAGATCAAGAAAGCTGGCATTCAAAATTAGAGTCAGAGATTCGTAAGAAAGCAAAGAATCCAATGACAAGACTCATGAGTAAATAGAAAGGCTCTTAAGCCTCACCTCCTTACTTTAAATACACACAATTCATCCCCTACTTTCTCACTGGCTCACAACAATTCCAGCAGTAGTGCCCCTCTGGATTCCCCTGTTTTTCTTTAGAGAGAAGACATTGATGAACTTTGGCACTCCAATCTGGTCCATCGAACAACCATTATTCTCTGCACCTCACTAAATCCTCCGTCCAGGACCCTTCTCTCACTATGCTACGCTGCAAACCTGCACCGATCGCCCCAAACAGGTAGCAACACATTCGTTGATCAAAATTGGTTCCACTCGAACTCATGAAAATTAAATATTCAACTCCAACATAAAAGCATAAATAACTTGGAATCTAGATTGCCATATCTAAATGAGTTTGGAAGCAATGGTTGAAGCAGAGATTACCCGGCATAAGCAGGAGAGATCTCCATGGACAAACAACGGTACAATCCTTCTGAACGATGAAATCCACAAACCGGTGAAAGGAAGCTCGCACGAAGCTAAAAAATCACAGTTCCAGGAGATCTTTTTCGGATTTCTCCTTCACCATGGGTGTCACCGACCACAGGCTGAAAACCAAAAGGAAAAAGCAAGAAAGGGTGAGAAATTTCTTGGGCATCACTCGTCAACAACAAAAAAGCGAGGAGATTTCCGTCACTATCGCCGTTATTATGCTGCCAAAACACAGCTGTTGGACCCAAAAAGTATTGAAAAGTAACTTATTAAGAGAGAAGCATATGTCCCTCTTCCTTCCTTCTCCTCGACTTGTTCCTCTTCTTGACGCTTCTCCTTCTCCTCCTCCTCCTCCTCCTCCTCCTCCGCTCCTTCTTCTTCACTATCTTCCAGCGAGAGAGAAAACACAGGAGCTCTGTTAGGTCACACCAGCAAAACTTATTGATAAAAAACGACATATATCAATCAAATCGCCAAACAAAAGAAAGAGGGAGGACAAAGTGAGAATGAAATAGAAGCGAAACTAATATTGATCACAGAAGATGAGTAAAAAGAGAGAAGCTGATCTACAAAGCAGACTTACTGGCATCATTCATGCCGCTACTACAAGCCAGAAGGGAGCGAGAGACCTGGAGACGGCCAGTCGGATCCGGAGCGAAAGGCAAGTTGATCAGGTGGAGACATCAATCAAAGTGAAAAATGGTACACCAGAGAAGTTTACCAAAAGGAGAAGAAGAAAGTCGAAAGAAGGGGGAGTTAGACACCCAAATGAAATAATTCAGGCGGCAAACCTTTCATCGCCGCCATCGATGTTCACATCTTTCTCCTTCCTTCTTCCTAATCGATAACCCATAAATAAAACAATAAGAATCAAAACAAATACGAGTTACAAATATCTAAAAAAGGCAAACGGCTCTTACCTAAGTCGTCGGATCTATCACTGGCGTCCATGGCAGTGATACCAAAAGGAGAAGAAGTTTACCAAAAGGAGAAGAAGAAAGTCGAAAGAAGGGGGAGTTAGACACCCAAATGAAATAATTCAGGCTGCAAACCTTTCGTCGCCGCCATCGACGTTCACATCTTTCTCTTTCCTTCTTCCTAATCGATAACCCATAAATAAAACAATAAGCATCAAAACAAATACGAGTTACAAATATCTAAAAAAGGCAAACGACTCTTACCTAAGTCGTCGGATCTATCACTGGCGTCCATGGCAGACCTTCCCATCGCCGCCATCACCGGCTTTCCCCTCGCTGGCATCGACGGCCTTGATCGGATCTCCTTCCTCCTCCTCCTTCTTCTAACTTGACATGAGAGTCTTCTCTCTTCCTGTTTTCTTTCTTCTTCAACAGAGAGAAGACTGATTGTGGCTGGGATTTGGATCTCCTTCCTCCTCCTTCTTATGACTTGACATGAGAGTCTACTCTCTCCCTGTTTTCTTCTTCTTCAACAGAGAGGAGACTGGGTGTGGCTGGGATTTTGGAAAGGAAAGGAATGCAAAAGGAGGAGATGCAGAGATAGAGATGGGTGGGTGGGAGATTGGGAGTTACGGGAGAGAGATGGAGATTAGTGGATGAGAGAATAGAGAGGCAGAGTGCAGGAGAACCAAAGAATAATGAGGGGAACAGAGAGAGATACGAGGGATCAAGCATGGCGCCTCAAAACAAGGGAAGCAGAGGGCTCGAAAAGCAAAGCGATGCAGGAAAAGTAGAGGGAAGACTAATGGAACGACGGCAGGGGAAGCAGAGAAGCGATTTTCTCCGAATTGAAGTGATGGGAGCCGCTTGTCCATGTCAGAAGAAGAGCCAATCAAAATTGAGAAGAAAAGGCAAAAAAAAAAACAAACCAAGTCACAGTGTTTGGATGTGACTCTAAGAAACAGTGCAATAGAACTTGTTCTTTTAATAGAAGAACTTTCCGTCCGCTTCCCCTCCCAACTCATAAGAATCCCCAAGCCAAAAATCAATTGCTTCACATTGTTGCAAGTCACTGTCATGTTAATGTTGGGGGTTGGGGCATGGTCCCATGGATTAATACATGTCATCGGCTTCTCACTGTGTGTTACCTATTACAAGTACGGCTTTTAATGAACCAATCCTCTCGTGAACGGCTCGGCGTCATATTTGAGAAAAACTTGTTCGAGACTCGAATCATCTTAATCGAGCTGGCTCGCGAACAAGCTCGTTAACTGAACAAGCAGAACTCGAGCCGAGCTCGAGCCTGAAAATATATTAACGAGCCGAGCCCGAACTATGGTAAAGTTCGACTCGGCTCGAATCATTAACAGCCCTAATTACAAGTAATAATGAGAAAACCAATTATTATATATATCATATCTGGTGGATGAATGAATTAATAAAAATTATAGTCGGTTATATACGGTACGGGTACATATACTTATAAAATATGTATGAGTATTTTAATAGTATGTCAGTAGTTATAAAATATATAAAATAAATTATTTTAAAATGGAGAAAGGAATTAAGCTTGATATGAGAGATTCTCACCTCTAATCTGCTTGCTTATATAAATAAAGGGGAAGATATTAAGCCAACAAGAAAATAATAGATATAGACAGATTTGGTAAACTTACAATTTTTTAATCTATCTTACTGACATAGAAATGCTTCATATAACTATAGGAGACAAAGAAATTAAGTTTGATCTATATCCTTAATTTCTAAATTAGCTTCTTCGTGTGAGATATAATATCAGTAAAGACCGTATAGAAGAAAATAATATTTTTCAACATAAAATCATTAATGCTTCATACAACTATAAGAGACAAAGAAATTAAGTTTGATATATATCCTTAATTTCTAAGTTAGCTTCTTCGTGTGAGATATATTATCGGGGGATTTTTCCAATAATAGCACCTTTAAAAAAAATTACAAAAATAGCACCCATATAAAAAAAAATACAAAACTAGCACCAATTTTTTTGGAACGCACCCCTAAGATGCGTTTTACAGGTAAAACGCACCGGAAAGATGCGATCTACATATAAAACGCATCAGAGGGGTGCAATCCATATAACAAATCGCAATACGTCAGTGCGATTTGGGGAGGACGCGGAACGATCTTCAAGATCGTCGGATGGAGGGACGATCGGGCGGCTCAGCGCATGCCAGCGGAGCGATCCGCGCCGAGGATTCCAGATCGCTTGCCAGCGGAGCAATCGACGCCCAAGGAAGCACAAATCGCATCGGAAAGGAGCAATCCGCGCCTAGGGAAGCGCAAATCACATTGGAAGAGTGCGATCCGCGCGAGGGCAAAATTACCCTATCGCCCCTGGAGGGTGCGATCTGATGGGTATAAATACCTCCCCTTCCCCTCCCATTTATTCACACCACAACCCATTCTTCCTTCTCTCTCTACAATTTATCTCTCTAAACCCTCCCCCTCCCAAAAGTCTAGGAAATAGTGGTCTGTTGGTTGCGGCTAAGTCCGATCTGCCATCAGAAAATATTTCTTAGGTTTTTTCCTCAAAACCCGCCGAGCCATGCCGAAGCTCTGGCCGAATTGCGCCGAAAAATGGCCGATTTTTTTTTTTTTATGAATGGTAGGACGTTTCATTTCATCAAAATGTCAAACAACTTTGCTGCCAACAACTCTGACCAGCTGAGCAATGTACCTTTAAAAAGGATTCACATCAACCAAACATACTAACAACTATAACCATAAAACTAGAAAAACCTACCAAGGATTCCATGGTCCAAGAGTAGCCTCAGATCTCCCTTTATCAAACGAATCATCTCCTCCAAATTGAACACCTTACCTCCAAACTTTATCCTGCATCTCTCCCTCTAGATACTTGCAACCAAACTCTGCCAAATCACTTTACCCACCTGAGCCATATCATTCTTCTGTGTAAGATTCCGGGAAGCCCACTGAAGTTCAGCTATCCACTGATCACCCGGAGAATGGTTAGAGTACTTTGCAAACAGCTTGGTGAATAACTGTTTATAGACAAAGCATTCTGCAAATACATGTTATCTTGTTTCCAAGGTAGAATTACAGAAAACACAGCAATGATTACCTGCAGTCCCCCACCCTTGAGCCTTTTCTCCTGTCACAATATAATCATTTACTATGAGCCATACTAAGAACTGGTTTCTGGGGATACTTGTTCCTTTCCAAACCAGAGAGTACCAGGGAACAGTGTTGGTTTTGGGTCTCAACTCCTCCCATACTTTCTTTATTTGGAATTTCTCCATCAGTTCACCTTTCCAGTAAACTCCATCAGTCCCAGTCCCCAAATAATTACTCATCTTATCTCTGTACTTCAGCAGTTTCAACCACAACCAGGATCCAGCTTTCGAGGTGACAGTCCAAAAATCACATCTCTTAATTCTATACTCCCAAACCCAGGCCACCCATAATGACCCCCGTTTCAACAATATAGCCCAGACATGCCTTGTAACACAAACCAAATTCCAAGATACCATGTCTCTAAGTCGCAGACCCCCCCTCCTTCTTAGGGTATGTAATCCTTGGCCAAGCAACCACAACCCTTTTCCTAGATCCATCTCCCACACCCCACAAAAAGTCACTGCATAGTTTCTCTATTGCTCTGATAACTGACTTAGGGAGTATGAAAATTGACATCCAAAATTTTGTGAGACTATACAATACTGACATGACTAGTTGAAACTTCCCTGCATAAGAAAGTGCTTTTGCTTTCCAGCTAGATATTCTCCCTGTCACCCTATCAATCAGTGGAGTGCAAGCTTTAATGGTAAGTTTCCCTGCCAGCAGAGGGAGACCCAAATACCTAACTGGTAACACCCCTAGCTTATACCCTGAGTGATTTGAAAATGGCCGATTGGTGGCAAGGAGAAGGAGTTTTTGTTGATGAATTTCAAGCGGTACGTACTCATTATTCGGGTTTAATTTTTGTTGTTGTTATAAGTTTTTAATTAATCTATGTACTAACCTCGTTGTTATTTTCTCGTAGGTTGGGGAGGACGTGGATATTTACAACCAACGCTATTATCTCGAGCAAGGACCGTTGGATCCAACCGACTTGTACGACCAACCCAACCATCGATCAAGGGATGTTTGGAACGCTCACCCGGTACATACAATTCTTTACCATTTGTCCTTCTTTTATTTTGTTAATGTATTTAGTGGAATATAAAATAAATTTATGTTGAATTTTTAATCGTGTTGGTTGTTTTCAATAATTTAATCGAATACATAGCGTCACTTACTTCGACTCTTTATAAAGAGATGCACGTATAAGGAAATGGGGTTTTAAGCGATTATCATATCCTCCCATTCCCTGGGAAAATCGGGTATTAAGAGATCCTCGGATCCCCCCTTTTTCTGTCAACAAGACTGCGTTTCTAAGAAGATGTATACCTCTTCTAAGAGTCTAACGAGTGTTGCTTTGTATTCGATTAAATTATTTAAAAAAACCAACACGATTAAATAATTTACCAAACAACCCTTACGATTTATTTTGATGTGTACAAAAGGAATTTTATTAATTTCAAACAATTGAATATGTATGTTTCTCTTTAAAATATTGATTCATTAAAAATGTCATTTAATTTAGTTAATTTAGTATGTTTATTTTACGATAATATGTATGTATCTCTTTAAATTATTATTCATTTAGAATGTTATTATGTTAATTAATTTAGGATGTTCGTTTTATGATAATATGAAATGTCTTTTTATGATAATAAAATTCTGCTTGAAGTTAAATAATTTAATTTAATTAATTTAGTTATAAGGAATAAACCCTTACTAATATATAATAATTAACGTGTAAATTTTCCCTAGGAGGCAATAACAATAATCCGCTACAGGGGTACGACCAATGTGCTCCCATTCCACCCAGCTATCTTGCCCTTTCTCAAAAGGGCACGGTTGGACTCGATTAGGCATTTTAACGGCATCAAAGTTGATCGCCAACTCATAACCGCCCTAGTTGAGAGATGGAGAAAGGAGACCCATTGCTTCAACTTTAGAGAAGGAAAGGCCACCATCACGCTAAAAGGATGTCGCCATCCTAACCCATCTCCCCATCGACGGCAAACCGGTGTGCGTGAGTGATCATCCCCCCGACGATTGTGACGGTATGCCCGGTTGGGTTCATTTCATCTATAGTGTTTTGGGAGTAAAAGTACCAGTGAAGGGGTGCGTTGATGCGACCGATCGCATGCCACCAATGAGGAAACACCAAGTGTCAATTACTTGGTTGACGAAGTACTTTAGAGAGCATTACGAGAGTCATCCCCTAACCGAGGAAAGTCCGGAGGATGAGAAGGAGAGATATTCTCAGGTCTATCTCATTGGCATGATCGGAGGAGTGTTCTTCTCCAAAAAAGCAAGCAATCTCCTTAGTTGTGGATGGCTTAGGATCATCCTCGGTAGTTGGGAGGAGATGGGGGAGTATAGTTGGGCATCCGCTTGCCTAGCTAATATCTACCACAACTTGTGCAATGCCTCTCTAAAAGCTGTGAGGGAGGT